GGGTGTGTGAAAAGAACTGTAAATCAGTCTGCCTAATAAACTCTTCTCTGCTTACCTCTCTCGGAGCCTCGGCTTGAATGTAGCGTTTGAAGATCTTTTTGGCCCTAGAGGACATCCTGAACGAAGACTTCATCTTCTTGTAGTCTTCACAAACAAGCCAAAACTCAATGTTTTCATCACTGAATTCTGACTTCAAGTATGCCTGGAATATCTTCATGCCATCTAAACAGATTAAAATATAACCAGTTAGGTACCAGCCAAGGTTGAGGAGGAATACTGACGATAAAGCTTGAATATGGGCTTTGTAGCCTATTACTGAACTTACATTTGGATGATAAAAGCCTCTCAAGTGATTCTGACCACTGGGACATCTCCTCGTAACAAAGCCTTTAAAAAAAGATGCACTGTCACTCAAATGTGCTACAATAATTTCAACATTTGAGATGTTTCAAGTTTTCTTTGCTTACCCCTCATTGTTAGCATCTTGAGATGATCTGCACTGCAGCCGAGACTTCAGGTTTCCTCCCCTGATGATCAAACACAAGGTTTATTTAGTGAAGCTCAATCGAAAAAGAGACAAAAGGAGATGATACATCGATTAGTTATGATAACATATTTACCTCTTCTTGTTATCAAGGTCCATGTTAAGGTTCTGTAGCTCCCTTTGTGGTGATACGTCAATACTCGGCATGGCACCAATGCTTTGTGCTCGGGGTGTGTGTGTGTGTGTGTGTGTGTGTTGGGCTGCTCTTAGAGAGTTGTGTGACTGCTGCTGTGTCTGTTTGATATATCTGCTCAACTATATATGGAGAGCAGAAGTGTTGGTGAGTAGCGTCACACTATCATGCTGAGCCAACCACAGAAAAAGAGGAAGTTGGGGATGACGCAAACATGTGCGCAGACTGCAACCACTGTCTGTGTGTACTGTACTTATCCTGCATCCAAACATGTTTGTTTCAAAGTCCAGATGCAAATACAGTAGGGCAGTGGAAAATTCAGCAGCAGATAGGCAAATCATTTAGTCTTTAATCCACCCTGCCTGAAAACCAATGCAGCGTAGATGTGGATAGACGTCAGTGTCTGTATTCTAAATATGAAGCAACAGCCAGTAGGCGATTAGCGTAGCATAGCATAAAGACGAGACGCAGGGGAAAACAGTTAGCTTGCTTCTGTCGAAATGTATCAAACGGTTTCTACTAATATCTACTCTTAATCTAGCTTCTAGATTAAGCCAAAAAAAAAAGCCAAAAGGGCCCAAATAAATACAATTAATGTTGATTAACTAGGTCACTAAGAACTTTTGAAAGAACATCCATAACATTCATCTGGCTGCAACTTACAAATTATTTATCTAATATATCATATTCCAATCACTGTATATAGACTCTTATTGCACTATTTTACTAATTTCTTTTTTGTATTTACTTGCACTATTTTTTCTGTTGTTCTGTTTTATTGTGTTGCACTGTTGGATTTTCATCGTCCTAACTACACTTTAGCTATGTACGTATGACTAATAAAAGCCTTGAACCTTGAAGTGACAGTTAGCATATGTCAAAAATGTTGAAATATACAATTAACTAGTTTGACAGATGTTGTGACTGAACACTTGTTTCTATCGAATATCGGTAAGCAAACTATGCTTGTTCACTGAGGTAAGCAGTAGGTAGCACCATTGTCCAGTTGGAAATCATTGCATAACAAGAGGGTGCAGCAATAATCAGACCTTGAATAGTGAAAAGTAATGTAAAAAAAATTATAGATCATGAAAATGTTTTTATAGATTTAAAGATGTATTTTTCCTTTGTTCAGGGTTTCTTTAAGTGCGAATTGAAAATCTGCCAAAAAAGAGTTGTATAAAGAAAGCACCTTATGACTTAAAAGTCATTTTCGCTTTTGCTATGTTTTTATGATTAAGAATGTACCATAACTATATTTAGCAAAAGATAAATACTCACAATTTGAAGTAACATTATGTTTTTTTTTAAGTTAGACTGCTATTTGGTTGTATGTAGGCATATAGGGGGGCAATTAGGCCCAGTGTTTTCATAGACAGAAGTAATACCATCTTTATGTCAGATAGGATAGAGCTTAAACAGATGGCTCAAAATCCGAAAAAAAGTAAAGTCTAACATCTAGGTCTGGTTCTAACCAGTTTGTCAAGATCATTCGGTCACCACCTACCAGGATTCTTAATCAATGGTGTGAACTGTGTAACTGAAAGCTGTTTTATTCACTTCCTGTTATGTTGACAGGAAGCTGCCCAAAACAAAGGCTTTCACCTGTTATCTGTACATTCCCCTGGATTTTTGAATGAGTTTTTAAAAGAGAACATCATCAGTCCTTTGTTTTTCTTAGATTTGTAAATGTCTAATGTAGACTTCCTTGTATTTATGCTGTAGTAAAGTACCCGTGATGTAAGCAATATAACACTGAATGTCGTAGGAGGAAATTGTTGCTGTTTTTTATGACTAAACATTTTTTATTTTACTTTTTTTTATTTACGGTAGTGAACTGAACTGAGGCTAACTAATACATAAAATACATACAGTTCAGAACATGTGAAATTTGATTATTATAATTATTATTATTATGGCTCCATCTGCAGCTTTTCCTCAGTCATTTCTTATGATTACATTTTTCCACAGGCCAACAACAGCTTAAAAAAAAAAATTTCCCTCAAAGAAAAAAACAAACATGCCCTGTTGTCGTGAGAGAAAAGTGCAAAAAGGACATTGAAACTCAGTTTGCTGCTGTGATGCTGTTTTAAGCCAGATACTTGGCATCTCATCTTGGGTGCTAGTTCATCAATGTTTGGGCTCAGGCTCTGAGCTGAGGAAGTCCTCAGTATTGAGTGAAGGTGTGCATGCAATATACCGGCGGGCCAGATCTAATAGTAATTAGAAATTATCCTGCGGGCCGAAATTAAATTCTAAATTTTGTTGCAATGTTTTGCTACCTGCACTTACAGCTGCTTTGCTACTACTCCAAATCATAATGTAACTTTGATAACAATGGACGATATATCGATATATTCACAGTGCAGAATATCAAGCCTGGATACAAGCTGATTTTTACACTGTTGTGACACAACTTAACCATGACAACACACGTCAATATGTAGGGGAAGTCTTCTGCTAGAAAGGTAGAGAACACTCAATTGGGAGTTAATGCATGCAAAAAAATGTAACATCTGAATCAACCCATGCTCGTAAACATAAGAAATTTAAATATGCCATAACTCATTGGCCTAACAATACATGATAATACTGTAAGTCTTAACCTAAGAAAAGGTTTTTAAGCAAACTTAATAAGTTGCTTTTGAGTCACAAGTCGGAATTGTTTTATCACTTTATCTATTTTCATGTGACTATGCTTTACCCAAGCTAGATGTTAAAATGCTCGCTGTGGTGACATGAACTCTTATCTCAGACAATTTCGTTATCGGTTTCTGCACCCGTCTGTGAGTTTCCTCCGTCAGTCGGACAATTATATCTATGGCTCAGTTTTTGATAACTCTTTCACTTCCCTTCAAGCAACGTCTACTTTTGCTGGGCCTGAGAATAAGTAGGCCAAATTCAGTCTTTTTCACAGTACCCAATGAACTTCACCCTTCCACACACAGAGGGGAGTCGTTGAAGAGGAAGTTGTGGTGAGCAGCCTGTGTTGCCCTAAAATAATTCCCCCTTGAACATTCAATGCCACCAACAGAAGCAGAACAACATGTTCGTCTAACACCCACCGTCACATGGAGAAACCACTCCATGTCTACTTCCACTTTCCAAACACAAAAATCAGACAACAAACAAACGTTAAGGCCGCACAGGCGAAAGAGAACAATGTAGCATTTTATTTTTCCATATTGTTGAAGGTCATTCTTACATGCTGAGTTTACTCTCTTTGTGGATGTGAACATTATGTCCAAATGTGTTTTGTTGTGCTCCTTTGTATTTGCATGCGTTTTACATACAGTAGGCGATGACACAAGTTTGTATAATCCGCCATGTCCTGGCCATGACAAGGCAAAAAACAAACAGATAAAGCAATGACTACTGTCTAACACTATGAAGAAGTCTACATAGACACAATATAAACTGTGCTTCTTTGATGGTAGATTTAAATAAGGGAGAATAAGCTTAGTTAAAGAGGATTTTCCCATTACATCAGATTATTTGAACCCCCCTTGTACTTTTTCATGATGCATAAACACCTCGGTCTTTGGCTAATTTAAATGAAGACGTTCATGCGGTTCCTCCTCACAATGTACAAAATGCAGCAGAGATGTAAACCACACAAAGACAGAAAGGAAGTGTGAGGCAGTTTTTCCCTTTTTCGTTTTCAGTTGCTTCTTCTTTTTTTCAGAATTATGCTGCATGAAGGACTTTGTTGCCATCTGGTGTTTTATTTTACAACCAATGACCGTATTACAGTATACAGATGGGTTAGGGTTAGGGTTAGACGACAACAAAAGTGATTTGGATCACATTCAAGAGGGCCACACTCAAATGTCATTCAACCGATTTATGTTTAGTTAGATATACCAAAGATCAGGCAAGAAAAGCTGAAACAGAAGCATAGCAATACACTCACATATTTATTTGCACTTGAAATTTAAAGCATATTTGGATTTATATTGGTATAATCAATTAGATAAAGTGATAATAATACTTTACAATGAATCTTTTTAATAATTAATCTGGAGGGAAAAAGGTAATCATACAAGCATTATGTGCACAATCCCTTTATAGATTTTACCTTGACATAATTAAAGAGTTAAGGTATAATACAAGCTGCAAATTCTCTTGAGATGTAACTGTCTACTGAATCACACAGGTTAAGGAAAGAAAAAAAAGAAGCTATTTCTGCTACACTTGGGACTTGGATTGTATGGCATAAACCTGTTATCCACACTGAAATCAAAGAGCGCTATACAGCAGATGAGAGTCGGAAAGCAGATCTGGCGAGCCTCCATCTGAGAGGCTGTCAGTTTGGAAAAACAGTCACCTTGAATCGCTTCTCCTCAGCAGTCCCTGATAGATGTCAGATTTTAGGAAGCGCGGGTAGCAATCCCTGGCCATCAGACTGTAGATGAGCTTCTGTGCCGTATCAAAGGAAGTCAGGGAGGGCTTGGAGATGTTCTTTGTTATGTTTTCTCTGGTGCCGCAATCTATGTTGATCTGGAATCAAACGATATCGCCCGAAGGCGTCTTACAGCAGCTATTTTCATTCCCTATAAAGTAACAACTTGTGAGCACATTTCTAAGGTTCTACCACCGTTAAGCAGCCACTAAAGGCCTTCTAAATACAGAGTATGAATAAATAACTCTTTCTCTCTTTCAGCTTGCAGTTGTTTACCTGTCTCGGCGCTTCTGTTTGGACAAACTCGGAGTAGATCCTGTTGGCGGAGGAGATCATCTCTGGCGCCGTCTTGATTTTTTTATACTCCTCACAGGCAAGCCAAAACAGAATGTTCTCCTCACTGTACTGGGACTTCAGGAACTCCCGGAAAGCTATCTGCCCGGCTGAAAATCACAAAAATGTTTAGGTTGGATAGCAATATATACAATCACGTATATGCACAGACAGGAGAGACTCGTACCTTTACAACCAAGGACTTTGTCCACGGACTCACTCCAAGTCTCAACATCTCCCAGTGGATCCTTGGGAAAGCAACACAATCTACCCTTGAAAAGAGCATCAAGATCTATCACTAGCCAAGTTATCTGTGAACTCAACAGCACAGTGCACCTGCAAACCACACTTGCATGTTTTAAAATGACTTGCAAACAGTTCAGAGCATTGACATCAACCTTAAAAATCACTAGAAGACCCTTCAGATCTCAAGACACAATGCAAATTGAGACTTACAGTGAGAAAACTCCTCGATATTTTCCACATGGTTGCTGTAAGCTGTTGCCTGCTTAAAAAAGGTAAAGGCCCCCAAAAAATAAAATATGCAGTAACTCACTTTATAGCCATCTCCTAGTCCTGTTACGAAGAGAGACAAAGATAAGATCCTGCCAGACTGAAGATGGGGTTGTGATTGTTTGGAAAGGAAGGAGTCAAGTGACTGAACAAATCTAAATGACCTACACCCAACATGAATGGAATATATGGAAATCTTTATGCAAAGTGTTGTTGTCGGGAGAGACGGGGCATCCTTCCGTGTCTGGAAGAGCTCAGCTGTGATTTTAAATTACCGCAAATGTTCTACATCATAACTGTGGATTTGACAAAATGAGGATGGCAAGTACTTATATAAATAACCTGAATTAAGATGATTTAAACTACTAACTATTTAGATCTCCGTTCATCAGTAACTTCATAATAACTACTGTATATTCTACTTTGGGCAAGCAAGTATAATCATATAAAGTATATCATAACATAAAGTTCTGCCTGCTGTGGTAGAGCACTACATGTCAAATTCAGAACAGGATTTAACTAAAGGATTAAGCAATGGTCAGGAAGCTCCCAACCATAAACAAATAGCTAAAAACAAATTCACTATTAAGGAAAACTCTCGTCATCCTGCCATTTGCATATCTGCAGTGTTCCTTATTCATCAAGACAAAAGCATAAACAAGCATTAAATGAACAATGTGTGCCTTATACCTCAGGTAATGCTGGGGAAAGCCGATCTTTGAAACTAAAAGCGTATCATTTGGGAAGAAACGTTGCATGTTCATTAGTCAATGATGAGGGTATTACAATTCATCCTGAGGGGAACATGAATGAATGTGCTACATAGCATAGCAATCCATCCAGTAGTTGCCAAGGCGTGAACCTCATAGTGGTCCTCGAGGAAAAAACTCAGGGGATCACCAACTTCAGGTACTTCATTTAGTGCCGATGCCTTGAGTGGGTTAAGATATTTCGATGTTTGAACTTTTACATGTTGGCAGAGCTATGGGAAAAGTCAGAGAATCACTACAGTTGTTGGGATTCATCCTATGGGGAACATGAATATCTGTACAAATGTCCTTGCTTATCTATTTAATGGTGGTCAAGAGTTCATAACAAATCTTCTGGTGGTGCTACGGGAAAAGTCTGGGGAGCCCCAGAGTGAGTGGGATTCATCCTCTGGGGAACAGGATTGTCTTAATCACTTCCATGGCAATCCGTAAAGCACTTATTGGAATTGTTCAGTCCGGACTAAAATGGTTGACAGTCCAACCAACTGGCAGAAAATAAACATTAGCATTCTTCGATCATTTTCGCGAGCATGAATATTAGGCAAATAATTTAACACTAGAACCGCCAGAGATTTTGTTATGCCTAAAACCGCCACCGGGGTCAAATTGACCCAGCATTAGAATGCATTGATTTTCAAAGTAAAAGTATTGCTTTAAAAAGAAAAATGGTCAATTTTGTTAAATTCTTTCGTTTATTAACGGTACAACATAGGGTTTCGTGAGGCGGTTGTCGTTTTTGGGTGAAAAGCAAACAGCTGTTTGCTGCGGAGCGCAGCGCAAGCAGTCTCCCGTGAGCGGGAGCGCGCTCCTTGCTATCAATCTATCTATCTATCTCTCTCTCTCAATCTATCTCTCAATCTATAAGGAACCGCAGTAGACAAAAGGCGTTGCTATAGAAACACGTCATGTTTGTTTACACGCAAAATCAATAGCGCGAAAAGGGGTGGGGTCAATATGATCCGCTTGGCGGAAATAGGTATAAACGGCAATTATTTGGCCGATTTCTTCAATCTGACTTCATATTGACAATTTGACAACATAGGGTGCTACATAACACACTTTCAGGAAAATTCACGGACTGGGAGACTTTAATATGTTATTGAAAAAAAGTTACATACAATAAAAAACAGCTCTGGGTCTAGTGTTAATGAAAAGTGTCAATAGTGTTATTACTACCATTTTTGGACTCCCCGTTCCCTTGCCGTCAATGTTTTCTTTTAATATTGTTTTTTAAGACGCCTGAAGTAAGGTTGGTGGTTTTCACAGGCTCAAGAAATGTTTTACGTTGTGTTCTATGACAGATTTAGGGTTCTAGGGTTAGGGTTAGATTAAGTAAAGCAAAGCTTTTACTTGTCTCTAAAAAGGCAGTTACTTATACATGCCATCAAGTTGAACATTAGTTCACCTTCATGTTTTTGACATGAATTTGTGAATCCTTGGTGTAGTTTGTTTTTAGCCGTTATCTTTTTCTTCTGACGATTGGAGTTACGCTTCAGAAAAGTAAAACTTTCATTTGTGTAGACCATCTTGCACTAAACACTAAAAGTGTTAGTATCCTCATCGTTTATGTTTTACATAGAGCTTATATTTTGCACTACTCCAATGGAAAGAACATATTGATTTTTTTCTCAAGGAAACCAGCACGATTGTAACTCCCTGAACTCTTTTCAGAGTTTTTAAAAAGACTCAAATAGATCAACACAAGAAAGATATTTCTGACTTGCCATTGCAAAGCCGAAGGGAACATACATAGTCACGTTATCCTGAGCTATATGTGGAGCAATGTCCCTTAGGTTTAAAAAAAAGGAACATTAAATTGTAAACCAAACAGTATATCAGATACAATACTTCCAGTGTGTTGTAACCCATGGTTTTATTCTGTCCTGTCAGTGGTGGAGATGTTGAGGGCCCAAACAAACCAATAATGTAAATCACATCAGGTGATGGAAAACACCCAGGCTACCCGTATTTGCATGTGTGTAGACGCACCAGGTCAAGAAATTTGTTTTTCAAAAAAGGCACAGCCAGGAAAGGAGAACTGGGGAGTGTCTTTGTGAACTCATTGCAAAGTTCTCAAGATGTTCTGTATTGTTGTACTTCAGCCTTTCATTTTCTTCGATCAAAAGTTGTTCTGAACAGTCAGTGTATCCATCCACAGCAAAAGGGACAACGCGGAAAAAGCTTATTGTAAAAGATCATTGATATATTTCCAACTAAATTGAAATGGAGTGTCTTTGGTGATAAGCAAAGCACTTCATACCAAGATGCATTTTTTCCAACCTTACACAGGGTGGCACTCTAGTCCTCTTCAGGCCCCAAATATGTATTCGACAACAGCACCATTTGTCTAGCTTTCTATGTCATTGATAGCAATTTCTCTTTGCTGTTGGTCCTGCTTGTTTTATTTATCCGATCACAAACATGGTTTTAACCCTTCTCCTGCAGGGTGGGGGCTGGTGCACGAAAAACCTATTCAAATTCGTTTTCAAAGCCCTGAAAGTAAGTCAGTAAGCATGCCAGTGTTTCATCTATTTGTCTCGACTTGTAACATGAAAATAGCAAACAAAAGGGATCCTTGCGGTGAGATTTGATACTTTTTTCTTTTTAGCAGTGATCTTTTCCGATTTTTGATGGCCCTAAAAATAACATATTGGGCAAATTAAATTATAGACAAGTTCAAGGTCAAGCATCTACTCAACCTCAGTGAAAAAACTCCCAAAGATACAAAATGTTCAGCATGTTTCCACTTGGCCCAATGCAGCTGACAGTTCAATCAGGAGAGACGTGATGTATGGAATACATGTTTATTATCGGGTCACATTATATAAATGAAACATAATGATGACAGTTTATAACAAGTGAATGAAATGGTGTTTGGCGAATAGGCCCAGGTTTTGTAGGATGTCATTCGGGAAGGGAAGAACCGTTTCCGATGAACCCCCCTGGGTCTAGACACTGGTGGTGGTGATAAGTGGTTAGGTCCGGTTGGAAGGGAGAAGGTTGAGCTTGGCCCTGAGTTGGAAGCAGGAGGCGAAGGGGTGGAGGAGGGTTGCGCGTTGACACCTGGAAGACAGCTGATGGAAAAGGGGAGAGCATATATAGAGGGATTANATCATTTTCGGCCTTTCGGCATTCGGTTTTCGGCCAACTGTTTCCTATTTTCGGTATCGGTTTCGGCCAAGAATTTCCCATTCGGTGCACCCCTAATACTTAGTGTATCCCCTTTTAACACTAGAACCGCCAGAGATTTTTTATACCTAAAACCGCCACCGGGGTCAAATTGACCCAGCATTAGAATGCATTGATTTT